TGTCGAGGACACAACCAGCTGGTCAGCGGTACCTTCTATCGAAGAACAGGTTTCTGCTGCATGGCCTCAAATAGTAATACTTAAAACATTTACGGTGGTCGTCGTCTGAATTGGGTTATCTCATCTGAGGGATTATAGTTTTTTTCATTGGAGTTGGTTTCTACGTAGCGGATCGCAAACCAGACGGCACAACCTCACTAGTTGAGTAAGCTTAAAGTTGTTGCACATTTATATAGTGAGCCGATTGCTTCTAGACCGGAGTTCGTTCGGAGCTGCACCTTCGTTAAACAGACACAGGCAATCAGACTCCTACTAGCGAACCGTTTAAAGGAATAAATCGGAGTGACTCCACTGAAGCTACCTCTCTTTCAGCCATAACCCACACGGGCGGATTACTGTATCTTGCACCAGGGCTGCTCACGTTTCCAGCACGAGATTAGGAATCGAGTATAGCCCTGCGATATATATAAAAACTTGACTATCCTTTGCCTACCCCTAAGTGAATACCTAAAATGGCTAAAAGTTAAATAGACTCACTGAGTCCACCTCCTCCCAAAACATTTAATAAATCATTGAAATCAATGTCTGAGTGAAAAAAAAATTAAAATAAAAAAAAAATCGCTATGTAAATAATAACAAATTATGTAAGAAATGTGCTTGTAGCTTTAATACTCTTTGACAAAACTAAAAATACTTGCCCCTTTGATCGATTTTGCATGGTCACCGACTTAAGTGCCACCGACAATGTTATTCTCACTACTGAGCCGAGCATAAGTTGTAATTAGGAAATTTCGCCAAAAAAAAGTATATGAAAACAAACCGCAGAGTCATCACTGACAATTCTTGTCTGAACTTTTTTAATACAAATATAACAACACTGAAACAGCAACAAAAGTACAACTCATGCAATGCCGGTGGTAAAGCTAACTGCTCAATTTAATGAACCTCCACCGAAAGTAACTGCGAACGCATTTGCCTATTTTATATACTTGTGTGTACATACATACATACATACATACATACAAGTATAGAATGTACATAATTGTACATACATACATGTGCATACATACATGTATAGAACGTACATAACTGCATATACATATATGTATATAAATAGGCATGTTTACATGCAGGTAATTTCACAAATATGCCACATAAAATAAGCGCGTTTCACAAACAATACCATACACACACACACACACACACACACATATATATATATATATATGTATTTGACCAACGCAGCAGCGCTTTTTTATGAGCTCACAAATCGAGTTGAAAATCACTTACCTGCCTGCCTGGCTGGCAGTTGGCAGTTGGCAGTTAATGCGCAAGCGCGTGGTATAACATAAAAAATGGCATGAAAATTAACCGCATGAGTGGTATTATACATTTAATGCCATTGTAAGTAGTTTTAATGTTTTGTAAGCTTTAATGTTGCTGCCATGACTTTGCTGCACGAGCTGTTTTGTTGGCAGCTACTGCTGCTGCTGTTGGCACTTTATTGTTTTTTGTCGCACCGCTGTTGCGGCTGTGAAGTGGCAGCACAGACGCCAAAGGCCAGCAAAGGCCTTGCCATTGACCGACCAGTCGACCTGTTGTGGAAATGTCTATATACATATATGTATGTATGTATGTATGTATTTATGTACTTCGAAAGCGTCATTATGCGGGCTATGCACGTGGTTATGTACAAATTACTATATATTTATGTATAAGGTTAAGCATTTCGTGGCTCAAAAAGCAGAACGCTGTATTTGGGCATCGATCAAAACTAATTGTCAAACCAAACATGTTTTGTTTTAGTTCAAAATCAGAAATTTATGAAAATAATGTTTATTTATCGACGCTATTAAGAGCTGGTGGTGCCTTATGTCGTTTTAGGCACTTGTACTTATACCTAGGTCCACATAAGGTCCAGCTTACATAACAACTGAAACCAGCTGACCGTTCTCAACGCCGTACACACGTAGTTTGAGTGTTTGAACTACAAGCAGTGGACGACGATTTTTCAAACTTAATTTTCTTCAGCCATGAGACATATTTCTCCCTCGGGAATGAATAAGAAAAATTGCTGCATTGGTGATCCGAGAATTCTCAAATAATTGAAGAGAGATTATGCCAAAAAAAAGTAGACTGTCTTGTGCGCTCTTTGATCCCGAGGTTCTCTTACAACGGCAACGACGAGTCTGTCGATTCGAAGCGTTATGGTCATATGATATCCGACTTTTTATGACCGGCAACTGAAGAGCATTACTTGGAAAATATGTGGTTTTAACAATATACGAGTAGTAGCAACAAGAGCGAATAGTGCTTTATTGCGTGAGAAATTTCTGCACCGCGTTATCTCTCGTCTTGACGATTTGAATTGGCTCTGGAGATTGTGCGAATTGACATCGTTAAACTTTTTTGTGCAACTATACGGCTGAACCTTTAACTCTTGAGCACTTGAAAACCAACCGTCGTCAAGTTATGGCTGTAATACCGCCGATTAAGTGTCAAAAAAGGATCAAAAACTACTTCAAACGGATCAAAGTTTCCAAAAATACATCTAATGCCAAGGTTCAAACTTCATTAAAATAATATTTTAAATGCAATTTATTGACGTTATTTTTCGAAACCACAAGATGTATAACCCTGCATTATATATTCGTACGCACATACAAAAATAGTGGTTGCTGCTGCTGGCATATTAAGTGCAGGTATCAAGCAAACTCAATCAGCTGCTCATAAGCTTTGTGTGTAACCATTGTGTCGGCAACTTGTTGTTGTCGCCGCATGAGTTGGTATTTTCTGCACTTATTCTCAGCATACATTTTTTATATGGAATGCTTTTTATTTTTCATTAACTGAAAAGTTTTTCGCAATTTTTTTGAACAATTTTTTTAACGGTTTAACGGAGATTAATAGCCATGCAGGGTTTATTTAAAGTCACATGCAAAATTTCCGAAGTATTACACCCACGACTTAGACTTTTCGAGAATATCAAACAATATAGTATGAGCCTTTTTTTCAGAACATAAGTTTTGCACCCTTGTCTTCGTAAATATTGCAAATTTGGTGCAAATATAAACTGACTTCTAACTATACAACTATAAAATCACATGGGAAAAGGTGAAAGAGTTCACTTAATTATTTAAAGCACTCAGTAAGTAGATTTTGAGTAGTAAAGTAATCAATGTTGGTAAAATAAGTATTAAAATCGTTACACAAAGATCTTAAGGAATCGCGCATTTCAACGTTTGTTCTGTATGAACGCAATGAAAGGGGGTTAAAGTGTCTAGACGATCTTAAGGGGTTACATAGATCTTGAAAGCCAAGAAAACCTTACTTTCTCTAATTTTTTCAAAAGATAATAAATAAAATATATAGTTTATTTTATTCACATATAAAAGTACACTATGTGGACAACATTTGATGAAAATTTGAATGAAAAATAGTATAAGTTGACTCGTTGGCAGTGTCGTGAAGTAGACCGTCCACAAAAAAATGCTTTCGCAGTAGTCATGATATCTTTTTCATTTTTTATCTGAAATCAAAAATTCTCTTTTTTTCTCTTAAGTACGTTAATTTTCCTTGTCCCTGAACGAAGAAAAATTTAAAAAAATTTAAAATTGATTGTTATGTAGCGTTTTTTACAAAAACCGTCATTTTTGCATTAAATTAGGCCACATATTGGCTTGAAAAAGGAGTTGAAATCAACGATAAAATAAATTCTTCGTTCAGGGACTACAAAAACCTCCTTAAAGAAAGTGTGGAAAATTTGAACTCGATCGCTTCAATAGTCGTTGGGAAAATTTTGTCTACCGATTTCGATAAAGTGATTTTAAGAAAAACGCATTTAAAGTTTTCTTCAACGATCAAGTAATGCCAAAGACGACGGGATATAAAACTCTCTATTTTCTACAGTTTCGTCTCGATCGACTTGAAACTTGGGGAAAATATTCGTGACACTTTGTACTTTTATATAAAATATCAAAAAAAATAAACTTTTTGAAGTTTCAAGACCTATGTAACCCCTTAAAGGGATGGTAAATTTAAGCTCGATAAGTAGGAATGAGCTCTTAATAGCACCCCTAATCAATTTATAGGGCTATGCAGGTTAGGCAGATTAATGAGCCGTAAACGACTTTTATAAGAAGGCACGTTTTCTTTCGTATTCCAATTAAAATTTCTTATCGTGAAAAGCAGAAATGGCTTGGTACAGATTCCAATTTGTTTGAGGCATATTCCAAAATAGGCCCACAAGTGTGATCATAAAATGGAAAACGATACACTTACCTCTCCGAGATTGAACTTCGATAATAACGAGAGGATTACCAAAAGTTCGGTAAGATTTTTCTTTTTTGTTACATCTAAAAATAGCAAATCCTTTACAAATTCTTTGTTAGTCTTCCTTCCAAGTTTTAGAACCATCGGATAAAATGGAGACGAGGAAACGCAAGAAATCTGAGGAAATTCCACCACCAACTCAAACAGAAATTCACTTAGGTTTCGGTGTAATTTACAGCCCGTACCAATATTCAGTGAATGCCAAAATCAATATGAAACGATTTCGGCGTCTCTAGAGGCTATTTCTTAGTGGTCCCGAAGATTCCAGACCGGGCATTTTTCTGTAGAAGACGAACCCCAAAAAGGCCAAACAAAAAATTTCCGCTGTTGACGTTACCGCAGCTCTGGTGAAGTCCGAAATTGACGAAGACCCACGACTGATGCACGAAATTATTGCTAATGAATTATACTTGAATGTCATGGCAGTATGCATTGGAATCAATGGTGTTTATGCAGAGAAGATAAAAATGTAAAAAAGATTGCCAATAAAGACAAAAAGAAATTTTTTCTGGTCAATTTACCAAACTTTTGTTAATCCCTTCGTAGATTTACGGTTAAATCATAGAACGAACTTAACATTTTTGAATAAGCTCTAAAATCGCAGTGTTACCTAGAGAAAGGTTTTCAAAAATCCACTCTTTACTTACCTGCGGTAGCCAAGTACTTACCAGTGCGTTTTACTATTCGGTTGAGTCCTAGTTCGGCCAACATACATACTTATAGAAAATTAGTTTTTCCAATTGAGATCGAACAGCAGCAGTGAATCTTAGGAGCTTGAAATAAAAAAAAATTATTATTAAAATTTTAACATTCGTAAAAAATACTTTATGAATCTTAAAACACTGAATTTGAAAAAAACTATTATTTTTGATCATAAAATTATTTATTTTAATTAAACAGTAACCTTACCAACATTTTTAGAAAATTATTTATTTTTGATTTCTATGGGTTTCCATATAAAAAAAAAATTATCTTTTTCCCAGAAAAAGCTAAATAGGATTTTCCAACAACGTTAGCATTTTTAACACACTTTTCTATAGATTATAGAAAGTTGTGCTCTCTATCTTAATCATCATTAGTTTTTTAATTATTTTTAATGCTGTAACTATTTAATTAGTCCTTAATTAGCATAACTTATTATATTCATTTTTTTTTTAAATTATAATTAATAAGTAGTAAACACTACACCCCTCAAACCATTTTCAACAATTCGTCCATTTCATATCTGAAAAGCGCTTTAGTTTGCAGCGCAGTTCAAATCATTCGGAGCTGCTCCATTGAGCTCAATGCAACTTAAAAATTCAATTGAATCGAATTCACTTCCAATTGTGTACGCAATAAGTTATCTCATTGCCTGTTTTACGCTTCAACAAACAATGCTTACTGACTGAGTAGTTGCCACCAACCCGTTAACCAAACAACCAAACAACCAACCAACAACTCAACATGCCTGGTTTTGCCGTCCGCACATCACATCAGCAAGGCACTTCATCTTTGCACGTCTGCCTTTTCCGTCTGTCCACGTCTGTTGTTGCCTGACTGTCTAGCGGGGCAGTCGATTGCTGCCGCTTCGTCTCAACCAGCCATCTTCCGGCTTTCCGCCTCTGTACCGTGTACCGTTGAAGTGTTACTTAGTCGATTGCATTGTACTGTTAAGAAGATTTGCATTTCATTGCTATTGAAACGATTTTGCTTCAATGATGCCACAGCAAACTCGCAACAGTATGAGAAAATAGCAAAAACAAACTACACTTGCATGCGATAAAAAAAAAACTAAACATTTTCTGTAGAGCTTAGTGCGAAAAAGTGACAGCGAAAAAGAGTAAAAAAAATATGGAAAGCACAATTCACAGCGTCTTTAGTTGTGTTCAGGTGTTGTGCCGTGTTGCGCCGCCGCGTATTCCCTTAAGCCCGACGCGGCCTCTGCTGAAGTTGAAGCCGTTTTTCTCATTTATTCATTTTTAGCTATTTTTCTGCTGCTTGCTCGCTTGCTGCCTGTGCAAACGTGTTGTTGCCTTCGACACTGAATTATTCTCCATTTTTATTTAATTTCCTCTATTGTTGTTGTTATTCGTAATAAGTTTATTTGCTATAATAAGTTTCAATTGAACATTTTTTTTTCGATTTTTGTTTTTCTTCTTTTTGGTATTTACTTGTCTTTTGTTCTGTTGCATTTGTTGTACGTGAGCAGAGTCTTCTTTGCTTTTTTTTATTTTTCCTACTACTCGCTTTGTTATTTTGCCTTGCTCCCACGCTTCTAAGCATTTACAGCTACTTAGTTCGTGTTCTCTTTGTTGGTCTTGTTCTTGTTTTCGGTAGCTATGTTTTCTGTGTTTCTAAGTATTGTTACAAGTGTTATCTCATTTTATTACCAACGACAAGTCGTAAAGTTGCTTGCTGCGGCATTTACACTTCCGTCTCTACACCTCTCTACGCCTTCTTCTTCCTGCTTTGTCTTTACTGCTGCTTTTACGTCAATTTAAACGTCTTTATATTCTTCAAAATTTTGCTTTTGATTTGTTGCGGACACGATCATTAAAAATGTTTGTATTACAAAGTGATTAATTTTCGGCTGCTTGCAGTTCCCGCGGATTAAGCTGCATAAATTTTAGAAAATTTTTGGCAAATAGAAAAAAATACATTGACGCGATGACCTCAAATGCATTTGGATAAATTTGCATATTTCAAATTCCATCTCTGAACGTTATTAAATCTTCTAGGCTGTTTGTTGTAAATTGTGTTTTTTATTCTTCATTTGTTGCAACTTCAATTTCAACAGTTTGGAACCAATAATTTCCTTATTATAAAGTAAAAAGAATTGATACCAAACTCGTATTATCGATTTCTTTGAGTTTTGGGTGTTTTTTTTTATTTTATTGATTTTTTTTTTATTTTTTTGACGTGATGTTATAAAACGAACTCATTTACTCTGGTGTAAAGTTTGCAGACTGTACAAGTTTATTAGCAAACTAATGATTCGGTTCGCACCACGCAGTCGACATAATCGCCAAGTAGAGGCAGTGGAATCAACCATTGATCGGTTTCGTAGCACGTTTAATGCTCATCCGCAGAGACGCCGTTAAGTGCGCATCCTCCGACGCTATTGCTGCTGTGGTGCAGGGTATGTACGAAGATCTGAATGAGCCTATTCGCCATCGCAGGCAACAGATGAAAGATCTTATGGAAGGATATTAATTTGAGGTGATACAAAATCGAACTCGTGCAAGACTTGAAGCCGAACGACTGGCTGAACAAAATGGCCATCGAACCCGATTTTCACAAGAAAATTTTGTTCAACAATGAAGCTCCCTTTTAGGGTGCTGATAATCCACAAGACATTATTGAGATGCCGATACATCCATGTGCTCTACGGGCAGAAAGATTATATTCAAAAATTAAGGCAGCCAAAATGATACAGTCTTTTGATGACCTTTTGTTTCAACTAGACGACGGAACAATCAAATTGTTGAAAGAAACTTTTGATGAGCGCGGTTTATCTCTCGTCATGGGCCCGTGGCATGGTTTACATGATCGTGTGATTTAACACCGGTGGACTAGTTTGTGTGCGGTTATGTGAAAATCTGGTGAGCTCGAGACGATTGTCGCCTTGGAATAGAAAATTTCGAGCTTTATTGCCGACGAACGGTCACAACTGCTGGAAAAAGTCATCGAAAATTATTTTTATTATATCCAAAAAAAACTCTCCTTCTGAACGATTGAACCACATACAAATCAACTGACTAACTAACCAACCAGTTACTAGGCTCAGAGTTGTGTTTTGACGTTTCTAACATTGAAAAATAAAATGAACAAGTTTGTTGGGAATTGAGTTATAGAAGTCAACAAAAGCAAAAAGATTTGTATAAGGAAGGTACGTCTATTACTACCTTTTTCAGCCATTTTCGGTAGGACTTTAGTCACTATTAAGGGCAGCATACCTCTTAAAGGTATGCCTGAATTTCTTTAAACAACGTCTTAAATTCAAACTTGAATTAGGTGGTTCTGGTAAGTACCCCATTTGTAGGAAATTTTTGATTAGCGGCACAGTGTTATCGATATTGAGTTAGGCGGAGCGTGGAAAAAAAGTCGATTGTATGGCACAAGGTTTCAACTCTTGGTCTTGCTACTCCATGGGAATAATAAGTATCAAATTGAATCGAGTTTTGTTCTTCGTTTAGGTTTTGAAAGTGTGATGATTGGAAATACCAAGTGTCAATCTCCTCCTCTCTCTTTTTCCAACGGAGTGAAGATCTTCATTTTTTTCTGCTTCCACCGGCGGGTACTACATGGCATAATTTCAAATCTGGTACGCTTTTATTCATAAGCACGACATGCCCTAGCCGGTATAGCCGTTGTCTGGTAATTCACTGAACAATAACAATGTCATCATATTACTCATACAGCTCATCGTTTCAGGAAGCCTCTTGCTCCTATCAATTGAGGGGGCATTGACTACACTGCCCACCCTGCCAGCGCGTTTAGAGCGGTGGCTAACATGATTACGTATTTTTTTATTCAAAACTGTTTCATTTTCTCCTTTCGTTCTTCCCTAAGGTGTTTGTGGTAAAGATCCTGTCAAAACAGAAAGCTGAGGTGATAAAGTCAGTTTAGTACTCTGTGCTATCCTCATTCAGCCGATTGGCATCGTCATTCTCGTGAATTATACCAAACAAGTTCAAAGAGAGAAAACCGAGAAGAGTTTTAAAAGTTTCTTTGCTCCTAAAGCCCTTTGTGAGCTCTTTGTATGAAAAGTGGGTTTTTTCGTCTTTTTTTCTTATTGGTTTGGAGGTAAAAGTTCCTGCAAAAGATTTTCGCTTATTAAATTCATTAACTTGGGAGCAAAGGAGAATCCTCCAATTGATGTAGAAAAATCAGCAGGCACTCTTTCAACTCTCCAGTTAAATAGTTAAAGGCACGGTCATACATATTTTCAAACAATAATCACACCAGTCCTAAGAGAAGAAATCGAGCTCTTTGTTATGTATCTATAAATGTCTATCCATGCAACAAGCAAATTTTAATAAATTTAACAAAACCACAAAAACAAAAAATAATTAACAAAAATATCATAAATCCCCCACATGAAACTTACATATACAGAAATTTTCTACAAATAATTTCAATCATACCAAACATGAAGCTTCACTTACTGAACACACAGTCCATAGGCCAATCATATGCCAATATCACTGACAGTGAGTAACATAGAAAATATTGTGATTGTCGGTATATGTTACTCTCTGGTCCTCTTACACTTTGTCGGCGTCTACATCTAATAGAAACGAGCAATTTTTGACAATCACTTGTACGTTCTAAGTACTTCTACGCCTTTGGACTCCATTGAGATTCAAGTGATTTGATTCCAAATTTAAACTGAATAGCCAAAGAGTCAAGCTATCATGTTGGCAAACGAGTATATGCCGGTAGCAGTGTAAAAAAAAAAAAACTTACCTATTTGTGGAAGAGGAGCAGAAGAGTAGAGATAGAGTAGAATCTTGTGTGACAAGCGTTGGGCACGCTGCGAGGCCTCAAACAACGATGTACACGTAGACTTATATTTATGTACATATTGTATGTTATATACGTATTGAGTTGAAGAGTTGCTGCAAATAGTAACAAATACTAGTAGCAATGGCAGCAGTCAACAATTGGCATCATGTTGCAACGTCCCACCAAACTGCTTTGTATTCAAAGCATCTCTGCCTCGCCATAAGCTCAATACGGATGTACTCATGACCTACGCGGCTAAAGGGACTGGGTTTGACAAAATCCT